CCCATCATTTTCACATCATTTGGTTTAATTTCAAGGAAATTATTGCAGGAAGCTCTCCTTGTAGGGACAAATATAAGATGTATTTGAGAGATTTAGCTCGAATAAGTTTTGCTGCCAACAATACTATAGAGTAATTAATAAAATACAAGTTTGCAAAGGACAAATTGCTTTTTTGTAAAAACTAAACTGACAAGTTCCTCGCAAAGCGATGACATTAAAACATGTTTCAAACTATCAGCGCAAAGATCCTATTTCGGAGAGAAGCCCCAAATGATTATTTCTAACATTTTCTTTGATTACGCTGAATTTACTATTTTATGCGTATAAGAGTCACTTTGTTTTTGAAATAACTTTTTTACATCTTATCCGCTAAAACTATTCGGTTGTCGGATAAGTTCGTGCCGTTTTCCCGAGCTTAAAAAATCCTATAAAACAGAAAGTTTTGGCAGCAAGTTATATATCGTTCGAAAGAGCTACAGGATGCACTTGGCTTATCCGTTGATTTGGGTCTTGTTAAAATGAAATAAATTTGAAAATCCAGAGAGCGGAAAAGCCCAACGACAGTTAATTTTTCCTGGAATGCTAGAAGCTCGAAAAATTCTATAACGCCACCTATTAGGGTAACTGTATATGCAGATCGAAAATCATAGTCACTCACCTCAGAAGAACCTTATCTAATTACGGTAGGTATACGATGCAGGGTCAAATTCACAGGTTTGCCTGAAAGTGGTCTAGTGGAAGTATTTGACAGCCTGGTTGTGAAAATGATTCACGTCGTACAATAAGCTCACAGTGTAAAATGGGGTGGATATACGTTAGGTCAAAATCACTGATTTACAGGAAAAAAATAATTAGATTATTTTATGTCTACCGCGCCAAATGGCTTCACCGTGTGACATGTTTGATTTTTGTAATCAGCATGTCAAGTAAACCCGATAGACCGCTTTCAAGGCAAACCTTGAATTCAACCCTATATCGTGTACCTACCGTAATCCTACAGTAAGACACCACCAGGGAGAATGGGACTTAATTTTGCTGTTTAATGTTAGTCTTCAAAGTCAGTCATAGATTTTCAAAGTCGCTTCAAAATTCATTTTTTGTCCCACAACCGAATCAACTGAAAAAAAGCATGGAACACTTTGCCCTTTCGAGCAGGTTTCAAAAGTGCATCGCTCCACAGCACTTCTTTCTCTTTGCATTTTTTCCGAATTAAGCCGAGACCTTGAGAAATACGACCTTTCCACACTGTTCATCTGCGATGTTCACTTTTCGC